TTGTTATTTTTAATTTCCTTGTGTGTTATATATAAGTCATTCCAGTTTTCTGTGATTAGTTTTAAAAATAATAAACACAACGTTCTCTCATATGGCATATTAACGTATGAACTTAATAAATAATAAACTAAAATCAAGTTTAATAATTGTTTATTTCCACTGTTTTAGTTAACTTAACGACATATTGAGTAAGGGCAATAGGGACCTATAGAAATGGTAAAAAATAATTTAAAATACTTAAATTGGATATAATTTAATATCGTGAATTTAACAGTGAGTCGAAATTTTATAGCTAGAATGTTTGGTAGACTTAACTTTAAATTTGTTTAGTATTTTTGGTTTAATATTTTTGGAAGTTATACTGACCTAATTAAATATATATATAAATTTAGTATTATATTATTTAAAAAATCTGGTATTTATTAGGAAAGAATTAATCACGTATATCTATTCGATATTTTCTAGAAGAATTTTAATTCGTTTATTTTCCAATAGACAAATTGGTTGAATCGACTAGATTTCCAAGTTCTGTGACCAAATTTCTTTTACAGTAAATAAATAAATAAATAATTATCTGTTTGCCTTATGTGACAAAAAATGCCTACGATATATTTGAACGTTTGAAGAAAACGTTTATATTAATAAACAGGTAGAGAGAAATATGCCAACATTTGTACACTTCGTCTGCTTCAGACACTTATTCGCTGCGTGCGTGCGTTATGAATCCCGACGCGCCTCTGTTCGCATAACGAGGGTGCTCGATTCTCGAAATCATTATCGCTCGTCAAAAGCCGATCCGGCGTTACGACCCTAAAGACAGGTAGCCTGCTTGAAACGGTCGCACATATGGCGCACCCACACCCGTGACCAATCGCTAACACGGTCATATCGGCCCTCGTTCACCACGCCGGTCGCCGCTGCGCTGCACCGCACGCATCCACCAACACGGCTTTAAACGACGTACCTACACACGCGACGCGAAACCCCGCTTAAAACGCTCGTTTGCATTCTTCGAATGAATGAAGATATTGGGAGAAAGAGAGAGAGAGAGAGAGAAAGAAAGAGATGCAGTGTTTATTAATATTCTAGGGCAAACCCTATAAGAATGTACAGGCATGCGATAAGAATATAACAAAGAAGAGTAATGATATAAAGAAGATAAAACAAAAGATGAATCATACAAAAAAAATAAAGACGCAGAGAAAATACAAAAAAAAAATAATAGAAAAAAATAAGGTCGCAAGAAAAAATAAAAAATAAAAGCAAATAAATAATAATGAAATTACAATAATAATAAAGTGGAAGAAGAGGAAAATTACTTTAAAAGAATTTATAGAGAGAGAGAGAAATGTGAGAAAAAGAGATCCCTGTATATAAGATTCGATAAAAAAAACAAGAATAAAATTATCTATTCCGTATAAATCAGGTTCACTTCCAAATAAATGGAAGAGATCGCGAGTGATTTATACAATAATTAATTATTAAAAATATTTGACATTTGACGCTTTTTTTTCGTAAATGATAAATCGTAGAACTTTTCTTCAAATGGAGAAAATATTGATGGCTACATCAATTTATATAAAAAAAAAATTGCCTCTCTCCAAATCGCGTCATTCGAATCTTGGCGATTCATTCGTCAGCGCGACGACGGTAACGCGCGCGTGCTCGTTCGGGCCAGAAACGTTTGCCAATGTTTGCCAATGTTTGCCGAGCACAAGGTGCGACGGCGACGGCGACGGCGACGACGACGGCGACGGCACGTGGGAAGCGCGAAGGCGGCACGCTCGAACACGAGGACTACCGCGATCCGACCTCGATCCCGATCTCGATTTCGATCTCGATCGCGCAAGCGACGCCGACGGCCGTCCGGGCTGACCGGCCTCCTGGGCCTCGGTACTCGTCGCCGGCGACGAAAAATTGCACAACAGCAGGTTTCGTTCGTCGCAGCATATCATATAAGAGAGACAGGGCTGGGGCAACCTAATGCTAATGCGGCTACCATTAGCAAGTAGTGAATCGAATGCAAAGTCGGACGTAAGGTGGGACCACACAGGTCGCGCTTGCTCGCTCGCTCACTCGCTCACTCGCTCGCGCGGAGGGTTATACGGGGCCAGCAGATGCAGTGCCCCATAAACAGCGGGGCGAGACCACCCAACGCGCTTGTTCCTTCGTTTCGTTCCTTCGTCTGTTTCCTTAATAACCACGATAGCCTGCCTGTTACCGTGCGGGAAGGTGTGCAGGCGCTCCTCTCTTTCTCTCTCTCTCTCTTCTCTCTCTCCCTCCCCCCCTCTCTCTCTCTCTCTCCCTCCCGTGGACGTACACGCGTATAGTGGATCAAATCGCAAGAGTGGCTCGCTCGCCTCTCTCGATCCAAATCGTTTTCGAGCTTTCGTAGGATGACGTCGCTCGACCGGACAGGGGGATCGGTGTGTAATTTCCGGTAATTGTCGAGTCGCTCGCTCCCCGATCGATCCGGTCCCCCTTGAAGACGTCGTTTGGTACGTCGTTCAGGAAAGCTTGATAAATTGCGCGGCGATTGTCCGTCTCGCCTCTCTCGAATCCTGAAGATCTCTCTTATAATCGCACGTCGATCTTTTTTCTATGGACGACTCACGACTCGGAATCGAGAGTCGCTCTATCTCCTGTTCGTTTCCTTTACTTCGCACGATCGCTCGTAACTTCAATATTTTCCTTTTCCTCCAGTTTATTACGAGATCACTCTTTTCTCCTTTTTCCTTTCTTTTTTTTTTTTTTTTGTTATAGACCCTAAGCTTCTGAGAATCACGCGAAGGGCTGTTCTAGCGTGATGGCCACCCGCGTTAAGTACCGAGCTGTGAGATATATTTTTGGTAATCCGAAACTTACAAAAAAAGATCACCCCGGAGATTTTTCGTTCGCCCTTCGTCGCGTTTCTGTTGGTAGCACGAGGAAGTCTTTCCGAACGATTAAGCATTACTGTATGGTTAGCATCGTCGCTCTGCTTCATACTCGACACTCACTTTTCTTATTTTTCTTACGTATAAGTACAACGATAATTATAGGGCAACTTCAACCAAATCATGATTAACTTAATTAACGCCATATTTTTTATTAAGTAATATGAATAAAGCTAATAAATTAGTTTAGAATTATGTTTAAAGTATCGAAAAAAAATTAAGAACGAACAAATAAATTAAAAATTTTGTTTTAAGCGACCGATCAAGTTAATCATTGATTAACTTGAAATTAGTTTTGGTCGAGTTATTTTGGAATTTGTTGCTTATAGTCAACAGTTTCAAGAAAAATTATTAAAATAAAATTAACAGTGCACAATATTTGTATCACAATGAAGACACTGTTATGCGCGAGTGATTAACAAATTTAGAGATAAAGAAAAAATATAAACGAGAAAAATAATTAAAATGAAAAAAAATAAATAATTTTTATTTTTAAAATGAAATTATTTAATTTCAAGATAAAGTTATTCCTCGACTGAAATGCAATCACAAAGCGGAATCTACCGACTGATACGAGTACTCATCGTACAACTACGAGTACTAATCGATAAAGAAGAGAATTCGCTAAACAAAATAACATTTCGAGATTAATTATATATGTATATTTACACTCGGAACATTTTAAATAATGGACAAAATATTAATATTGAATACAATTAACTGTTTATTCTGATATTACTGTAAGATATTATTGTCGATAAAGAAGAGAAATTCTTAAACAGAAGTACCTTCAAGATTTTTTATATATACATTTACATTTGGTATATTTCAAATATTATAAAAAATATTAAATATTAGTATTGGATACAATTGTGTTTATTTCGACATTATAGTATGTTACAGAATATATAGTAGTAGCGAAATTTTTTTTAACAAGGTTCATAAACGGATGCTGGAGGAAATAAACAACTATATTAAAATAATAAGATATAATTATGTAAATAATATGTGTATATTTTCTTAATTTAACGATGGAGATAATTAATCAGTATAAATTTTGTAATTGAAAAATGTATATAATTTTGGAGAAAATATTTTAAGAAAAATAAAACAGAGTAAGTTAAAATTATCGGTCAGGTTGTTGCAGAAATAGGAATTCATGTTTTCTTTTTTTTTCCTTTTTTTCAACTTATTATTGTAGATATTTTTACATTATGGAGTTAGATGCAATCGTTCCTTTGTTGTGCGAAGATAATTGTATCCAAATTACTTTATTTATATTTTTATGTGCAGAATTATACAATTGTTTGCAAATTATTTCATATTTCCGTCTCCCTCTCTCTCTCTTTTTTCCCTCTCTCTTTTTCTCTCTCTCTCTTTTTCTCTTTCTGTACATTGTATATTATTTCTCTTTTTGTGTAAATTATTGTAATTCTAATTGCAAAATTCTAATTGCAATACTCTAACACCACGATATTTTTAATTAAGTTATTTTTATGAACAGTTAGAATAAATCCTTGTCTTTGTATTTTAACATTGAAATAAAAATACATTCTGGTAAATATTTTTACACATACATTGCTGATCAAACAATTCTTATTGCACATATTATTTACCGATTTACGACGCGAGCAAAAAGACTCGTAAAACAGTTCGTTGTTAATTCAAGAATTCTAATCCATTACGTTAAATGAAATATTTATCTTTAAAGTACATCTAGTAAATCAAGTGTACGTTTAATAAATATTCGATTGCAAGCACGTATTCTTTTAAGATTCAGAGGATTAAATCAAATTTATAGCAAGAAAAGAAATTGCGCGTTAGTGCGAAAATGCAACGTGAAACTCAAGCGTTTATATTTTATTATTTTTTTAAATATCCTGTCTTAATATATACATGGAAACTTCCATGTTCCGAAAGATGATGGAACGCAACAGGGTTTTCCATTACGCAATCGTTACGTAAAGTGAAACCAGCGCATATGACAAGGATTACAAGGCGAGCAATCAAGTCCGAAGGATAGAGCCAAGGTCGGAATTAGAGTTGATCATTATGATCCTTATGGCGTGGAGAATGATCTTAATCGAGTCTGCCTCCGTCCCCGGATTTGTTCTCCAGATAACGCCGTCGGTATGCTCCGGTAGGATCATATTTGTCCTCCAATAATTTCCAGTCGTCCGGTTTGTTGTCGATTAGATGATGAGAGATCTTATCGGCCATGTTCTTTTGCGGCTCACTACAACCGGCGCAATCGTGTTCCAACGCATCCGGTAGATTCTCTAAAGGAGGTTACAATGAGATTTTCTAAAGGGGTTATAATGAGAGATCATAATAATTATTGTGATCTTAGAGCAGGGTTTTTCAATCAATTACCGCAAAACACTGATGTGTCGCAAAGGATCTCTTACGGGAAGTGCGCCACAAAAATTTTAAGAAAGAGAAAAGGAGGAGAAAAGATTTAGAAATAAACAAGAAGCGAAGTAAAAAATATTTTTTAATTGTGAAAATTATTTTTTTTATTCTTATTTTAATCAAAACAATGTTGTCATTGCAATAAAAAAATTGCTTTTAATATAGTAAAATGTAAATTTAAACTTTTACTGTGTTTATTTTTGAATGTCGTGTTTGCAGTATCTGATAAAAAACTTATACTTTAAGCATTTAATAAGATTCAACAAATTTGGCTTATTATTTAATGTGTTGGAAATTAAAAAAGATTTTTAAAATCTGCCTTATAGCATACAAGGTCCACTTAATGCTTCGAAGCATTCTTTCATTCTGTTAATAAAATTTTTGCTTTTGATTATAGTTAATTAAATGCTTTGAAGTAGCATTAAGTGGATTGCACTGATTCTCTATGATTATGACACTTCGTTTGCATTCATTAGCAAGAATGTAATAACAAAGTCAGAATGCATTATATAAATGTGCGTTGAGAGAAATAAATTTTTCAAATATATATCAAAGCATATAAAATTTTCAAAAAAATTGTTTTTAATTTTTATACACCCTCTTATAAATTTAAATTTTTCAAAAATTCTAATTTTAAGAAATTTATATTTATAAGAAAAGGTGCGTGTAAAATTAAAAAAAAAAAATTGTTTTGCTTGTATTGAGAATGTTTCAAGTCTCGGAATATACTTGAGTTTCTCTTGGTTAAAGGATTACAGGAACATGGAGAACAGACACTTCGCTGTCCTACGCATACTTACTTTTGAGTTCCGCTGCGTCTGGGGTGCAAGGATTCTTATCAAGCAGGCAACCCACGTATCCGTTTAACAGCCTGTCGTTGCTTAATATCGCGTCCACGTCTACATTGTCGAATTTCGTGGTGTACATCTCTTCGGCGAAAACGGAAGAGGACGAAAGGACACACACGGTGATAAAGACGACGACTAGGTATCTCATCGTACCGGATAAGATCGATGCGTTGCTCCTGATCCACTGCTCATGAAGCTTATTATTTCGTATGTCTTATAAGGGGCTTGGACACGGTTCGTTAGTCGCACAAAATCGTCCTCCTGTGTCCTTGCCATAATTTATCGAGAAAAATACGCGCAATGAAGCCACTTCCTGCGTCGATGCAATTGATATTTCTCTCTAAATCCAGCTCTCTCTAAATTTTTTATCAACTTTTTATTATCAAATTATTAAATATTACTAAAATTATATTTTACCATTATATTTTTTAGATTATTATATAAATTATTATTATTATACTGTAAAAGAAAACTAATACTAGATATTTTATATTCATATTATTATATTATTGTTGCATAATTATTGTTGCAGATAATTAAGAAGTTTTTCCATAAAAATTGCTATAAAATTTAAAGAAATTTTATGTTCTCAAGAAATATCTCTTTTATACCCAAAAATAAATAATTGAAAAAATATTAAAACGTTTTTCTGTTAGAAAAGAAATGAGACACATAATAATTTCATTAGATAAATTTTTTCGTATATTTGATAAAAATATATAAACAGTATAAAAGAAAGAGATTAATTCTATATGGTATCCCAATCATTATATTTGTGTCAAGTACAAAAATATATAAATAGATAAAATACATAGCGCGGAATTTACGTGTCATATACGTGAAAGAATTCCAATTCCTTTTTTGTATTCCATAGATGGTATAAATGATATATTACGTGTGCGTGACCTCAACTTTTAGACGACTCGCATAAGGGACGATTGTATCATTGATGACCCTCGTTATCCATTCTCTGCAAAATTTTTTTAATTCGTAAATTTAAATTCTTCGCTTGAGGCATTTCGGCCTTGCATAACTTGCTAGTAATGCAATATCGTCCTCTGTCGCGGAGAAAATTGATTCTTGGAAGTCTCCTCGTGTAATTGCTACTGTCATCTTGGTAGTATACTTTTGAAAAGCATATATAATAACCACGGTGTCACATGAATAAAACAGTTCACAATTAATTTAGCAAACTTATGACATTTCTCCATGTTTTTAAGATTTTTCATCGAATATTTTTTCGTTGAACTTTACTTTTAAGCAGTAATTTATGTTATCTTAATTTTGTTTCAAATATATATATTTTAATAATATGAATATTTTAATAAAAATTTTGAATAGATCTAATATTTGTGTCTTTAATTGTCTATATAAATCTTACATCGTATATACTAAACAAGGTTTATACAATGCTTTCTCACTGGCAACGTGTGCTAATTAGCTAAATTAGATTAATCTTTTAGCGCGTTAGCAATAAATTACTTACGCTCAAGGAACACGTCAAGAGAAAGTCTAAAATGGCTTTATGTTGACGTAATGAAAGTTAAAATGATGATTTTTTTATTACAAAATTTAACAGTTTACTGATATTAAGAATCAAAATAAAACCTTTTTGATTTTTTAAAATTTTTATGTGTTTCTTTTGATTAACAAAAAATTTAATTCTATAAATTATTCTTTTTAGCTGTTAATTTTCTAAAAAAATTGATAATTTATAAAATTCTTTAGTTGCTCAATTTTTATATAGGTGCTAATAAAAAAGCATTATGTAAGTACCTTTTGTCTCAACTATAAACCCTCTTAGAAAATTTACTTCCAGGAAAAAATCGATTCCATTCGACCAATGCATATTCGTCTGATTTCAGAGATCAACTCAAAAGTTTCGCATTTCATAATCCGCGACAAAGTGGCTTATCAGTGTGGACTTTTAATATTTCGTAAAAGGAGGAAACGATGCCCGGCTTGGAGCGGATTAATCTCTGCGGTCGTCTGATCGAGGGAACGCGGAGGGATTTCCTGAAATATTATCTGAAAAAATGTCCAACCCTGTTTCACATCTGCTACGATCCGATCGGCACCCATCGGAAAGCGAGGGCTTTTATCGGATTTCTCTTCGGATTTGTCGCAGCTGTCGTGTTATACGAAGGCATAATCGTCGATCTACAATTTGACACATATACCAGTATCTTTCTAGGAGCCATCCTTGTCGTGATGCTATCGATAGGATGCGCATCATCGATACAGGTAATCTCTTTTCTTACTTCACTCAATTTAACTTATTATTTTTATACCTTCTTATATTATCTTACTTTTATACATTATTTTATTAACTCGATTAAGCATCAACATTGATATCTTTCTGTGAAAGATATTCAAGGAACACACAAAAGTCAACAAGAAAGTAAAATGATTTTTTTTTATTCTTAGTGTCGATAAAATATATATATATTATGTCAAATTTTATAATAAAAAATCATTATTTTGACATTCATGACGGCAAAATAAAGTCATTTTAACTTTCTCTTAACTTGGTGTGTTTCTTAGGTACGTTCTTTCCAGCAACGTACACAGGCGATACTTCCATGCTTTTCGATCGTGACAAATCGGCAAACTCGCACAAATCTAAAATGCTGTGTGTCGTTTTATAATTTATATCATTTCATGAATATCAAATTTTTACATGCATTTCATATAACGATTTATTTTTTTCTAAAATTTACACCATGCATTTCATTACCATTTATTTTTCTAGAAGTGAAACTCGCAATAATAGGGTTTCAAGGTTGAAGATATTTGGATGTATGAGATCCTTCTCTTTATTTTATTCTAACAGTGAAATAAAAAAGCTAAGCAACGTTTCAGATACAAATCGACACTACGTATTACTATGTCGCACAATGTATGACTGTGTTCCGTTGCTGGAAAGCAACCCACTCTTTTCTCAAGGAGTTTGTATAATTATATTACTATATTGATCTAATTGCTATTATAAACTGCTTAATATAAACTGAATCGAAACTACGCATTTATCTTGCTAAATATTTGACAAATTGAAACTTGTCGTATTCTATTGCATTGTAATGCACTTTAATGTATATTTATGTCATGCACTTTACCTTGTCCGATTCTTATATAGGATTGCAAATATTTGTCGAGTAAATGTGCAATTCGAAGCAATTTCCAATGATAATAAGAAAATGTAGTTATGATAATTGTACATGCTATTTATATATGAACTTTGAAACGGAGACATTTTTATTTAGTTAGCTGCATTACAAAAATGTGCGACATTTAAAGAAAATATATATTTTTAAAACATGTATTATATCATGACATTAGAGAGAAATATATAGAATATTTAACAAATATAAATTGTTTTTACATAGAAAGAACGATTTTCCTGAAGTATTAAAAAATTTAGATAACTCTAAATCCAACAAAATAATTTTGCTGGATCATCAAAATATTTATTAAAATAATTATCGCTCAAATTGATTGCTGAAATGTCAAAACTTTTTGTAACATTACTCATCTTAAATGTCTTATAAAATTTCCTACATTATTTTTTGATGGTCTAACAAGATTATTTTCAGATCAATACTTACTATCTAAATTTTTAGATGCTTTAACAAAATTGTATCATCAGTTAAAGAATATTTGGCATCGAAATCGTCGTTCTGTCGATTTGAATAGGTGAGATGCATCTGTCTTTTGACTATACCGACTTTTCTTGGCCGATCTGGACGCAATGTTTTGAGAGCTCTCATTCTGGGATATATAATAGCGGGACCTATATTCAATTTAACGTACAACGCTAAAGAAGTGGTGAGAACTTTCGCTTGCACGATGCAGTTGACATACAATCTCACCGAGACACGCTTCGACCTCATGTTTAAGCCGTTTCAACAGGTATATCTGCTAATTGAAATAATAATGCAATAAAGTTGTTTGTGCGATGAAACTTCACTCAAAAAAGTCAACCGATATAACCAAAGTATCTAATAATACGTAGGCAGTGCTCGCCATGAAAACGGATGCGAACGAGCTAAAGGATACTTTATCCTCGGTGAGAGATTTGATGAGCCCGATAGTCGAGGAAATCGAGGGCGAAGAGGAGATGAGGAGACTGAAAGAGGAGAACGACTATTTGGATGAGCTTCAGGACGATACGAGAAGAAGCGACGAGATCGAGGAGAAACATGAGAAAGAGATCGCGAACGCGAAGTCCGAGGCAGATGTTTACGAGGCGAAGTACAAGAGGAAGATTGAGGCGCGCTGCGAAGAGCAGCTAAGCCATGGTGCTGAACGATGCAGGTAAGATATTTAACACTGACTTCATCTAAATAACATCGGAGAATTTTGTAGTCGACTAATAATTTTTAGATACATTTCTCGTAAATAGATTTCTAGGAATTCATTCTCATGCAAATCTGGCGAACGGTATAACAGTACTAATACAATGATACGATTAATTCTTTGTAAGATGACAAATAAAAAATGTAGAATATTCTTTCATTTTGTAAAGAAAAATAATCTTGAATATAAAAATTAATTCTATTTAAAAATATAATTAATAGCAACATATAACAGCTATTAATGTTATTGTGTAGCTATAGCTATACAATGCTTTGTAATAATTTAATAAAAATATCACTGCTTTAAGCTTTACAAGTGTGATATTTGTTAACTTTCTGAATATTTCTTTCTTTTAATTTTAAATTCTTAATTTGCCTTAGCATAATGTCTTAACTTAATGAAATTTAACATAATTTTCATTAAAATTTAACTGATTTTCAGAGATATGTTTGCTAACGCTTACGACAAGTGTTACGATACAGTATCGGTTTTTGCGGCCTGGCTGCTGTGTTGGCCGATGAAACTCAACTTCGTATGCAACCTGGTGCAGGCCCTCGGTGGTTCCAACATCTGCGATCCCGAAGGAAAGATAGACCCCGGTATTGGTGAAGGCTACGTTGCTTTAAAAAGTGAATATCATTCGCATCGATAAAAATTTAGGAATGAACTCATTCAATTCCTCCGCGACGTTTTCGCGAGATATTGTCTCCTCTTCATGAAAAGGAGCCAGAGACGCCTTCAGCAAAAGCCTCAAAGACGCGAAACTGCAGTATAAAGTAAAGAAAATGCCGGTGATTCTCGACCTTCACGACGCAACAGATGCTGCAAAGGCTGTAATGCACGAATTCAACGCACGCAGAAAAGTTTTTGAGTCAGTGATGATGATTATTAAAAGGTAATAGCAGGAATACAGATGATTCTAAGGACTTGGATAATTGTCGTTCTTCTTAGAATAAAAACAGAAGAAAATTATGTGGAAAAATTTTGCACAGTTTAACTTTTTGTTTTTTCTTTTAATGGAATTACATGTTTACTCTTTAAAATAGAATATACTTTCAAACATTGCTTTTTTTCGGTAATGCTTTTTGTTTATCTACAGAAAGAATATTTTTGCTTAAGTAATTAAAAATTTAGTTAGATGTAGATCTAAAAATAATAATAATTAAATAATAAGTAAGTTGGGCAATTAGGAATCGGTGCTATAAGTGGTGCGTATAAGTGATTAAATTCATTATAATCCAAATAATATGGTTCAACAATCAATAGCGTACGTTTTGGCTAAATTCAAGTCTTCTTCAGCGAATATATTTTCATGAGTTGTATTTCATGACTAATGTGTGGATTCCGTTGGCTAATCTCTTATTTTCTCATGGCCAATTGGTGAGCTGGATGGTCTCAAGAAATTAAGGCCTTAAATATAATATTATTATTATTACATTGAATACTACATTAAATATAATATTATCTAAAAATAATTTTGTTGAATCATCAAAATAGTTATGTCGGAGTATAATATAATTATTTATGATGCTCAAAGATTCAAATTAGTAGATTATTCAAGCTAGTTGCAAAAATGTCAAAACTTTGCAGCGTTGATCATTATTCTTTTTTTACGTAATTACTTTGATGATTCGACAAAGTTATTTTTACATCTAACTAAATTTTTTGAGACTTCAGTAAAACTGTCCTTTCTATATATATACAACAGGGTGTCCCGACCTTTTTTGCCAATCACTGTTTTGTAGATAGAGCGGATTAAACTGAATCGAAAAGTCCTCTACCATTTTGCAATTTTCGCAATAGTTAACAAAATATTAATTACTAAAAATTGCAAAATATTGG